CCCCACACCCACCCACACCCACACCCACACCCGTTTGCATCCGATGGAGTCCACGATGGCTTTCATCATTCTGAAGACTGCACAGCGTTTCAAGCCTTAGAATCCCTGCTATATCGTCAAAAGCCTACAGGCTGCTATAAAGATTTTGCGTTCAGACTGTATGCAAGCCCTGCCGAAATCGGATCGCTTGGAATCCATGGGATCTCATAGAATTCGCCATGGTCTTCATTGTTCTGAAGATGCCACAGCGTTTCAAGTCATGAAATCTTTGATACATTCTCAAACAGTTTATAGGCTCCTAGAAGGGTGTTTTCGTTTTCTAGGAATCCAAACCTTCTCCAAGTCAAATCCTTTGAAATCCTTGGAACCTGACGAAATCCATCATAGGCTTTATTAGTGTGAAGACCGCACCAGGTTCCAGATCTTGAAATCCCTTGTGCATTCTCAAAAGCCTACAGACTGCTAGAATGGTTTAGGATTACTCTCGGAATCCAAGCCTTCCTGAAGTCCCATCGCTTCGAATCCTTGGAATTTGATAGAATCCACGATGGAGTGCATTATTCTGAAGAGAGCACACCCAGACCCTCTTGGAATCTTTGGTACATCCTCGAAACCCTATGGCTCCTATAAGGGTTTTGGGGGTTCGCTAGGAATCGAAGCCCTCTCCAAGTTGGATCGCGTGCAACCCTTAGAATTTGCCACAAAGCACGACGGCATTCATTTTTTGGAAGGGCGCAAACCGTGTCAAGCTGTAGAATCCTTGGAATCCGTCATACATTCTCAAAAGCATATCCGCTAATAGAAAGGATCTCGCCTTCCCTCGAAATCCAAGCCTTCCTAATGTCGGACCGCTTGGAGTCCTTGGAATCTGATAGAATCCTCCATGGTCTGCATTATTGTAGCGACAGTATAGTATATCAAGTCTAAGAATCCTTGTTACATCCTCAAAAGTCTATAGACTGCTGGACGAGTTTGGGGTTCTCTTCGAATCCAGGCCGTCCTGAAGTCAAATCGCTTCGAATCTAACCGAATCCACCATAGCCTTCATTATTTTGAAGTCTACACAACATCTCCATTCATAGAATGATTGGAATCGTTCGCACATCGGGAAAAAGCTATTGGAGACTAGAAGAGTTTTGCGATTCTCTTACCACCCAAGCATTCCTCAAGCCGCATCGTTTGGAATCCTTGGAGTCTGATAGAATCCAGGACGGCCTTCATCATCCTGAAAACCGCAGAGCCTTTCAAACCTAGAAATCTCTCCAATCATTGGTATATCCTGAAAAGCATATAGGCTCCAAGAAGGCTCTTCAGGTTTTCTAAAAATGCAAGGCTTCCCCAAGTCCAATCGTTCAGAATCCTTGGAATCTGATAGAATTCACCATGGTCTTTACTATTCTGAAGATCACACTGCATTTCAAGTCATGAAATCCTTGGAATGCTTGGAATCCTTGGTACGTTCTCAAAAGTATACAGAGGTTCCAGGAAGGGTACTCTGTTTTTCTAGGAATCTAAGGCTTCCCCTAGTTTCGTCGTTTGGAATCCTTGGAAACTGATAGAATTCGCCATGGTCTTCATTACTCTGAAGACCACACTGTGTTTCAAATCTTAGAATCCTTGGTTCATCCTCAAAGTGTATAGGTTCCAGCAAGGGTAGTCTACTTTTCTACGAATCTAAGGCTTCCCCAAGTAGCATAATTTGGAATCCTTGGCATCTGATAGAATTCGCCATATTCTTCATTACTCTGAAAACCACTCTGCGTTTCAAATCTTAGAATCCTTGGAATCCTTGGTTCATCCTCAAAAGCATAGACGCTCCTAGCAGGGTGAGCTGGTGCTCCAGGAATTCAAGGCTTCCCTGAATCGAATGGTTTGGAATCCTTCGAATCTGAGAGAATGCGCCATGGTGTTTATTATTCTAAAGACCACACTGTGTTTCAAGTTATGGAATCCTTGGTACATCCTCAAAAGCATATAGGCTCCCAGAAGCGTGTTCTGGTTGTCTAGGGATGCAAGGCTTTCCCTAGTGGAATTGTTTGGAATCCTTGGTATCTCATCGAATTCGCCATGGTCTTCATTATTGTGAAGACCAAGCTGCGTTTGAAATCTTGGAATCCTTGAAATCCTTGGTAGATTAAAAGCATACAGGCTCCAAGAAGGCTAGTCTGGTTTTTGTTGGAATCGAAGGCTTTCCCTTGTCGAATCGTTTGGAATCCTTGGAACGTGATAGAATTCACCATGGTCTTCATTATTCTGTAGACCACACTTCCTTGAAAGTCTTGGAATCCTTCGAGTCTTTGATTCATCCTAAAAAGCATATAGTCTCCAAGAAGAGTGGGCTGGTTTTCTAGGAATCCAAGCCTTCCCCAAGTCGAATCGTTTGAAATCCTTGGAATCTGATGGAATTCGCCATGGTCTTCATTATTCTGAAGACCATATCGCGTTTCAAGTCTCGGAATGCTTGAAATCCTCGGTTCAACCTCAATGGCATACGTGCTCCAAGAAGGCTAGTTAGGTTTTCTGGGATTTCGAGGCTTCCAGAAGTAAAATCGTTTGGAATCCTTCGAATCTAATAGAATTCGCCATGGTCTTCATTATTCTGAAGACCATACTGCGTTTCAAGCTTCGGAATGCTTGGAATTCTTGGTTCAACCTCAATGGCATATGGGCTCCAAGAAGGGTAGTCAGGTTTTCTAGGATTCCATGGCTTCAGGAGGTTGATTCTTTTGGAATCCTTGGAATCTAATAGAATTCGCCAGTCTTCATAATAATGAAGACCACACTGCATTTGAACTGTTAGAATCCTTGGAATCCTTGTGCCATGCGGAACAGTATACAGGTACGTAGAAGGGTGATCTGTTTTTCTAGGAATCGACGGCTTCCCCAAGTCAAATTGCTTGGAATCCTTGGAGTCTGATTAGATTCGCTATGGTCTTCATTACTGAAAACACAGAATAGCGTTTGATGTCTGGGAAACCTTGATATGTCCTCAAAAGCATGTAGGGTTGTGTAAGGGTGGTCCGGTTTTCTAGGAATCCAAGGGTTTCCCAACTAGAATCGTTTGGAACCCTAGGAATCTGACGGAATCTACCGTAGTCTTCATTATTCTGAAGGCTGCACTGCGTTTACATTCATGGAATGCTTGAAATTGTTGGCACATCGGGAAAAAGCTATTGGAGGCTAGTAGAGTTTTTGATTCTCTTAGAACCCAGGCCTTCCTCAAGCTGAATCATTTGGAATCGTTGGAATCTGATAGAACCCAGAATGGACTTCATCATTCGGAAAAGCACAGAGCCTTTCAAGCCTCGGAATCCTTGGAGTGCTTGGGATATGCTCAAAAGCATATGGACTCCTAGTAGGGTGGTCTGATTTTTGTATAAATCCAAAGCTTCCGCAGGTTGGATTGGTTGGAATCCTTCGAATGTGATAGAATCCAGCATGGTCTTGATTATCCTGAAGAGAGCATAGCGTTTCATCTCTTGGAATCCTTGGAATCCTTGGTACATCCTAAAAGGATATCGGTTCCAAGAAGGGTAGGCTGGTTTTCTAGGAATCCAAGCCTTCCCCAAGTCGAATATTTTGGAATCCTTGGAATCTGATAGAATTCGCGATGGTCTTTATTATTCTGAACACCACACAGCGGTTCAACTCTTGAAATCCTTGGTGTGCTTGAAAAAAATTCAAGGTTTCCTTTTTGACAAAAGTCAGCGGGGTCTCTATTGGTGTTTTGTGCTTTTGTTTCTTGGTTTCCAAAGGGAGGATAGGTTCGTTTTTTTGGGGGAGGGGGTTATATTTATTAGGTCTTAATGAAAGGATTCCGACAGTTTACAAATTAACACGCGGCGTGATGAATTAATTAATTAATTAATTAATTAGTTAATTGAAAGTGTTTAAGTTAGTGTTCATGATGAACGTTTTGACCTTGTTTATTTATTTGAATTGATATTGAATTTTTGTACTCGATTATTTTCCGCATCGACGACACAGAGATTGCCATCTCGATCGAATGACAAACCGGTGGGCCAATGGAGTTGGTTCGATTGTCCTCCTTCACCGTTTCCACCAACAATGACACTTCCTTGTGCGGCTCCTTTGGACCAACACATGATTCGATGATTTCCTCCATCAGCCAGATAGACAGTGCCAGATTGATCGACAACGACTCCTCGAGGATCTGACAATTGTGTAAGACCGTTTTCTTCTCCTCGACCACCAGCCACAACAATGCCTTGTTTTGCACCTTCCATCCATTTCATCACACGATGATTTCCCCATTCAGACACATATACTGAATGGTCTCGATCGACGAATACGTATTGTGGGTAAGAGAGTTGATTGAGACCATTTCCATATCCATTGCCACCTGCAACCACTATTCCTTGAGATTCGCCTCTTCGATATCGTCTCACTTCATTTTTTCCTTCGTCAACGACATAGAGAGATCCATTCTCGTCCATTGTCAAACCCAAACATTCGATGTCGGAGATGATTGTTTCTCCACTTGTTCCATTTCGACGAGGCCATCGAATCACTCTTCTATTCGAATAATCGCAGATGATGAGACTATCTCTCTCTTTGTCGACAATCACATCTCTTGGGTAAGACAATTGATGATCTCCACTTCCTTTTCCATTTCCACCTGCAACCACTTGTCCACTCGTTGCATCCAATTTCCATTCCACAATACGGTGATTCTCTCGATCAGCAACATAGATTGTTTGATCATCATCAACATACAAACCCCAAGGGTTTGAGAGTTGATTGATTTCATTGGCTTGTCGATTTCCTCCAGCTACAGTGGTACCATTCTGTTGCCATCGAGCATTTGGATGAATGTCAGTGGAACTTCCACGTAATGGATAGACTGAAATAGAGAGAAAGGAGAGAATAAAATGATAAAAATCGTTTTTAGTAGTCAAATTCTTAACTTTGTCAGCAACAAGTGTTTTGTTTTTTTTTTCTTTAAATATTTTGTTGAATTCAAAGTTATTCATTGAAAGAAAAAATAGTCTAACAAGAGAGAGAGAGAGAGATGCAAAATTTTGCACCATTCGATGACAACATAATCGATAAGAATCTAGGATATGTCAGCTGTTTGGATGAAATGTATGATTACAATAGATATTTTCAGGTGTATCGAGTGTTGGTGATTAGTAATGAGTTGAATTTTGGATTACTACATGAGTTTACAATGAAATTCTTGCACATTTTTAAATATGTTACAAGTGAGTAGTAGTAGTAGTAGTAGTATCCAAACATGAGAATAGAATGATCATGCTCTTTTATTGAAGCGAAAATACCAGGAATATTTTGATTTCGATGTCTGTAAATCACTGAAATTATAGCTAATCTTCAAATTGAACAAAGCTCAGTTCATTCATTTGATTTTTGATTTTTTGAAACCTCATTTTTGTAGGAGAATAATGTTAAGATATAGAGGGATGTCATAATATCCATAACTCGGGTATCGAGATTTTATTCATAGGTATTAGGGTATCCATTCGATCCATTTCTCATTATCCACATGCACATAAACTTGAGCAATTTGAGTGGATTTGGTGTAACGAAATGAATATCCAAAATTTTTGGAGGGTGTGGGTGTGGGGTGTGGGTGTGGGTGTGGGTGTGGGTGTGGGTGTGGGTGTGGGTGTGGGTGTGGGT